TTTAAAAACAGACTTTATTTTTCTAATAGAGAATACAGAAGTTATGTTTCAACTTGAGTGTATTTGCCTGGATTTTACCTTAAAATAATTATTTATGGAAGAATAATGAGAAGGTGATATAGTGGAGAAATACATTGTATAATTTAAAAACTGTGTTTCTAGTTTCAGTTTTGCTGCTAATTAGTTGCATGACTTGGGTTAAATCAGTTAACTTGTCTGGATTTGATTTCCATTTGTAAAATTGAGAAGTTTGAGCCAAATGGATTCTAACGTTTCTTCTTACCCAAATCTTTTATTATTTATTCAAAGGCTTAAAAGACTAAAATGCTCATTGCCTGCAGGAATCTCAAATAGAGGTGGCCAGCACCAGGCATGTGAGGGAGGGCAACAGGGGTTTATATATCTAAGTCCAATGCATTACATGCAGTAATATGGAGTTTGAAAGCCTGTAAAGGCCTTATAGGAAAGCCGTAAAGGTGAGATAATAAAATAGGAAACTGGAGCCTGTGACAGATAAATAAATATGTAAAGGAGATTAAAAGAATTGATATCATTTGCTCAAGAGAAATATGAAAAATAGCCTAACAACAATTGTAAAGAATTTTTTAGTTATGCAACAAATATTTATAGCCCACCGTGGGCCAGGCAACATTCTTATCAAAGATCTGAGAATGAGATGAGTTGAAGTTGGATTAAGCTGTAGCTAATGCTCCTTTTAGGAAGGAACAATTCTCCATTGTGGTCAGATGAATTGGATCAGGCAGGGTGCTTGGGAGATCTCCTGTTGTACTTGGAGGTGAAGGTCGACCATGTTTCAGATGGTTTAGGAAACCTCTCACCTAATGACACTGTTTTCTAAGCACTCTTTGTAGTGCCCTCTCAAACTGAATCTGTAATTTCTTTTCCACTGTTCTTTGCTTTGTCACCAAAAAGATGGAAGACAAGACTTTAGGCTGGGCACGGTGGCTCATGCCTATAATCCTAACACTCTGGGAGACTGAGGCAGTAGGATTGCTTGAGGTCAGGAGTTTGAGAGCAGCCTGAGCAAGAGCAAGACCACATCTCTACAAAAAATAGAAAAATTAATGGGGCATGGTGGCATGTTCCTGTAGTCCCAGCCACTTGGGAGGCTGAGGCAGGAGGATAGCTTGAACCCAGGAATTTGAGGTTGCTGTGAACTATGATGACGCCACTGCTCTCTAGCCAGGGTGACAGAGTGAGACCCTGTCTCAAAAAAAAAAAAAAAAGGCTACGTACTCCATTTTCTTCCCCATTAAATGCTAGAATTTGGGATGATGGGGATATAGATATAACAGAATAAATAAGATAGAATAGGATTTCAGCCTCCTTTGAATTATGCTTTCTCAGTGTAGTGTCATTATTTTAAAGGCCACCAGCTCCCAGAATAACCTTTTTCAAGCCTCAGCATCAAAATACACTACAAAGCTGTCATCTTTGGGTTCCATGATGTCTCAGTGATGAATCAGCCTTCTGCTTACTACAGTCACTAAACCCCTTAAATGGGCTCCAGGATGCCCCTCACCACCTTGCCCCTAATTTAGCATGACAGTAAATAGTGCTCTGGTGAGGTTCACAGCATGGAAATGATTTTGAAGCAGCCCATTGTTTTAAATTTTCTCTGCTATTTCTTTCGTTATTTGAATAAACAGGAGTTATCCATGGTTTCAGTAGTTTTTCTCCTTTACATTTTTATGAAGGTAAAAACAGCACAGTAACACTTTTACATTTATTTATTTATTGTTGCAAAAGCAAAAGTACAGAGTGTTTATATGACTTTATGTTACCAAAATCAGCCATTGATTTATAAGCCCTATAGAACCAGGGTCTCAAAATACGCTATCTTACCCACAATAGTAAGCTAATTAGGCATTCTATATCTTAATGATTGCATTATGTAGACTTTATTGATTTATACCTTCTTAAATTTGAAACAACAGGCTTAATTTACACTAATAAGGCAGCAATTTACCCTAGTGGATGGAACAGTTAGTGCAGCTTCTTGAAGTACCTAAATTCAGATAGCATGGTCTGAGAATACTGTTTCACAAATGGAAATCTCTCTAAAACCTTCCTATTCAAAGTGTGGTCCACGGGCATATGCATCACCTAGGTCCTTTGTTTATTAAAAGGATTTGTTCTGTAAAATTTGGATTCAGTCAAAAGGCCACACTCAAGGATCCAGAAGGCCATGTGTGTCCCCAAGGCCACGGATTCCCACCTCTGATAGGAGCTTGTTAGAAATGCACTCCGCATGCTCCCCTTTCCCGCCTGCTGAGTCAGAGCCTGCATTTTGACCAGAAACCCCAGGTAACTCATGCACATGTAAAGTTTGAAGGTGATAGCAGGGTGGTTCCTTGTAAATTACATTCACTTTTGATCTGGAGTAAAGATAAACCCAACAAGTATGTAGGATTTAGGTAGTCTGAAAATAACAATAAATGATAAAAGTGTAAAAATTATATGAAATTTGTGAGGAAGTTGGAAATATTGGAAGGAAATGAAGTAAAAATTATCCCAGAAAATGCAAACTAACATATATGCACAAAATATGCTGTAATACATAGTATTTGAAGAAATTGAACATAAAGCATCATGGTACCTATGACGTGGGGTGACAGTAGAGAGAAAGCCGGAAGTTAATCAGTAATGGATCACAGTGGTCACTGTTCCATTGCCAGTTTGATTGGTTAGAGATTTCCTTTAAAGTAGAGCATAGTTGAGGCTTGTGTACCTCTCATGCAGTTAGTGACACTGTTTGCTAGAAAGATAAAGATATACCAGAGAGTGTTTGGAGATGGGCTAGAAGATTGATTATGGCATAGGAAGAACTGATTTATGAGGACAGAGAAAAATAATTAAATGGGCAGCACTATGCTATAAAACCAAGCTATGGAGACGTGGATATTTATCTAATGTTTCTCCAGTGCTGTTTCCCGTACTATCTATCTGAAAGGTGCAGAACTATAGGGATATAAGGATGCCAAGAAATTGGTTACAGAGCAAAGCAATATCAGCCAGAATTACTTGATTAAATTAAGAGCAATATCAAAGATTATGCTTCAGAAAATTTTACTTGGTGCATAAGAAATGACCTTGAGCAGGATGATTTTATCCCTGAGAACTTTTGAAAGCACTGTGGGCAAAGAATGGAACATCATTTATCAAGTTGTTGAATTATCTCCCCCAAAATAATTAGAACCCCATCTCTTGAAACTTCTCAAATAAGGGTAGAGAAAATCTAGGATGCTACTTGCGAGAGCTCTCTCCACTTCTGGTAGAGACTGGGTAGTTGATGAATGACATTTTTCTTTTGCAATATCTTTGATTATTGCTGATATTACCACACATGAATACTTTCCCCCCCTCAGGTTGGTATGTTTCTTATTTAAATAGAAAATGCAACCTTCTAGAAAAACATCTAGAGTGGGCCACTTCACAGTGTCTGCCTCCTTGAAACCTAGTGACATTCTCTTTTCATTTCTCTTCACGCTATGATTCATTAGGAGATAAAATTCACAATGTGTCAGATGTGGATTCACTTCCTTTATTCATTTCATTCAGAAAGCTAAAAAGACAAGCCCAAAGTGCACCTGGCCTTTTTGGAGCCATTTGTCAAATGGCTGCAGAAATTCTGAAATCATGTAATGCCTCAGAGAGTTTAGTGATTTTTTTTTAGCAGGATGGACCCAGCTTGTGTTTGCCAAGGAGCAATGGTCTGAGGACATCACATTTCCTTCTCCCTCCCACAGTAGACTTCCTTTCCCCCAGTGATACGCTTCATCTCAACAGGGAAGCCCCGAACCCCAATTCCATGGGTCAGAAAGCAAATAAAACAATTTAATATTCTAATTCATTGCTTTTTTCCCTTGCTAATTCCTTCAGAGACACATTTATATTGTCTAGGAGACCTAGTTTAATATAGGTGCTGATAAGAATAATTCATATCAAATATATTGATTGGAGGTTAGATATACTTCTTTATGCTGAAGTGTGGGAAGGTTTGTTCAACTGAAATATTAAGCCACATTAATTAAATTACTTCAGGTGTCCCATAAGTGAATTGAGTTTTTTTGATGGTATTTTAAAAATATTATTTAATTTTATTACTTATGACTTAATGTACCTACTTTAGTTTTTAAGAAATTCTCTTTGCCTGTAGCCAAAAGTTTTTCCGTTTTTCCTTCTTGAAAGATATCTGGAAGGGGAAATAAAAAGGTTAGGATTATATTCTGCTTTTGCATCCATAATAGAAAGATAATCCACTCTGTATCCTGTTTTTGTGAACATGACTCTAACAAATTGCCAGAATCTTACATGTGCAAGGAACAATGGTCTTCAAGGTGAAAACTAATTGAGAAATAAAAAATAAAATTTATAGGTTGCAAGATTCCTTTTTCTTCTCTTGTTTCCAGACTGTTGTACCTACCAAGAGGCGGAGGGGAGTCTTTTTTCTTTCTAAATCATTCTACTAGTGTCGTATTGATTTTCTCTCAAGTACACCCTGTAGTCTCAGATGATCACATATTTTCTTACCTTACTCATACTGATACAGCACCTTGACTCATGGGTTGACGTATTTTACTTGAGCTGTGAAGACACTGCCCATGTTGACATTTCCTGGTGGTGGGATGTACCAAGGCCTCTTATGCACAAAACTTAAGGGAACAGGCTGTTTCACAACAGTATTTTCCTTCTTTGAAAAGCAATTATTGTTCATCCCAAATGGTATGTTAAGCCCCAGTCTGTGTTGCTTTGCATCGTTCCTAACCCCTCCAGCAATGTCTTGAGTTCTTTTGTGTCTTTGCTGATAGAGAAAAAAACGTTCCTCACCTGGGTAATGAAATATTCCAGTTACACTGTTTATAAGAAAAATTATATTAGTACGTGTCTGAGAGAATACAGTTGACCTGCCTATGTGCCATTGTGTTTGCTGTTTCTTACCTTTGTATCTTCTCTCATCTCGCTTCCGTCTGTTTTAGCTAGCCGTGAGGTGGCTGGAGCACAACTGCCATTACCAGTACATGGATGAGCTCCTGCAGTACATCCGCTTTGGCCTAATGGATGTGGATACCCTCCATACAGTTGCCCTGTCCCACCCCCTCGTCCAAGCAAGTGAGACTGCAACAGCCCTGGTCAATGAGGCCCTGGAATACCACCAGAGCATCTATGCACAGCCCGTCTGGCAGACTTGCAGGACCAAACCACGGTTCCAGTCAGACACTCTGTATATCATTGGTGGGAAAAAGCGTGAGGTCTGTAAAGTGAAGGAACTTCGGTACTTCAATCCTGTTGATCAGGAGAATGCTCTCATAGCTGCCATTGCCAACTGGAGTGAGCTGGCGCCCATGCCTGTGGGAAGGAGCCACCATTGCGTGGCAGTCATGGGGGACTTCCTGTTTGTAGCAGGGGGGGAAGTTGAGCACGCCAGTGGCCGGACGTGTGCCGTGAGGACTGCATGTCGCTATGACCCCCGCAGTAATTCCTGGGCAGAGATAGCACCCATGAAAAACTGCCGGGAGCATTTTGTGCTAGGTGCCATGGATGAATACCTCTATGCGGTTGGGGGCAGAAATGAACTGCGCCAGGTCCTGCCTACAGTTGAGCGATATTGCCCCAAGAAGAACAAATGGACTTTTGTTCAGTCCTTTGACAGATCCCTTTCATGTCATGCTGGATATGTGGCTGATGGTCTTCTTTGGATATCAGGTAGAACATGCCTCATATGTTGGATTTATCAAAAAACACTTTCCTTATGGTATAAATTTAAAAGTGAGGCTTTGGTAGTGTGGCCATGTGTAATTGAAAGATTGAGCCAGGCATGGTGTTTTAGCTAATTAACATTCATTTATTGAGCACCTACTCTAGGGAACAATGTAATTGGAAAGAATGGGGCTTTCTGTGACTTTCTGAGTGAGTAGTGGAGTACAAATTCAAGAAGGAAATTATGGTTCATCACACCTGTTTTTCTACCAAACCTTCTAGTGTCAGCTCTTGATTATTCGTGGATTGTATTGCACAACTTGTGGTTTATCTAGGTCCTTTGCTTTTTATTTCACCCTTGGCTGCCTGGCGAGGAGCTGTCTCATCAAAGGTAAGGCAGAAAAAGTTAAAGCCCAGTAAATCCATTTTGCTAGGTATAGCAATGGTATATATCCAGGTAATAGCTATGCTGTGCATTGAGGGAAGGGATTTAAGTTACTAAAACAAAGTTTTGTATTATCTGTGCATAGTCGTTACTCATGCCATCCTAATTCTTCATTCCTGTTTACTTTCCCGCTTTTGCTGATTATTTGGGGGTACCGTTTGAGCTCTATTATTAACTTTTTGTCTTTTTTAAAAAATGTCATTGATTATAGAAAAAGAATGGCTAGGAAAATGAACCCCATGTACCCCGAGCCCAGATTTAACAGTTATCCACTCCTTGCCGATCTTGTTTCATCTACACCTGCATACCCCCACTCATCCATCTTGGCTGCCTTTTTGCTTGTACAGAAGGAGTATTTGAAGGATATGTTATCACCATCACATTATCAACCTGTGAGGAGAAAGGTCTGAAGTGTTCCCCTTTGAAAGGGTTTCCTATGGGGGAAGAAAGTTGTACCTTCTCTTGGTTGGAGGATACTCATTTTGTAACCCAAATGGAACTTGTTGGATTTCTGTGTCATCAAGGCCAAAGAGGAATAGAAAGGCCAAATAACTTAAATATTAAGGATAACTTTGATGTTTCTTAACTTAGAAGAAATAAATCACGTTTAAGTATACCTTCGAAGGCTTCTCAGCTTTCCTCAATAATCATCTCTAGTTTTTTAATACCTACTCTGACAAAATTCTCCCTTGCATTTAAACTAAATTCATCTGGACTCTGCCTGTTTTTTTTTTTGTGTCCTGTCCTCAATAACCAGGGAGATAGTCACAGTCTCAGCTTCTCTGGGTGACATCTTAATTATTGTCGATTTGCTGATTTTAAGTGATGAAACCTAGCTCACGTCAGGGTTTAAGTGCTCAATAAATTAATGAATGAAGTTAAGACTAGGACTAACGAAGGCAGAGGACAAATGAGGTGGACCCAACAGTTATTGGTTCTGTATTCCAAATAAATATTAGGAATATGTGTGTATGTTAGTATATGTAGATATATTTGAATTAAGACCTCATTTATCTAGTGACTGTTCCTTTTTCTTAAAAAATATATTTCAACAGTTAAGAAAATAACCGCCTGTTAGCTTTGCTGTGGTACTTTAAAGTAGGCAGCAAATAACTCTCTGCTAATAGAAGGAACAGATCTGTACTTGCCTTGGATAACAAAATAATGATGGATTTATGAAATGAATGCAATTTATGTCGTCTCCCAATTTACATTCCTTCCATTGATTCATTTAGTTTCATATATTGTTAATGTATATATTCCTAAATTTTGCATTATTTTCTAAATTTTGTATGAATTTCTCATAAATATTTTAATAAGTATTTCTTATGGCTTTAGCTTTAAAACTAACTTGTAAAAAAATGTTGCACTTTCCCTTACATAATCTAAAAGATATGACTACTTAATACCTTCTTCAGCGAGGCCTTAAGAAAGCACAGAAGCTCATCTGAGACTGGCTAGATCTGTCATCCTGGAATCAAGCTGACTTCCCTTTCAATATGGGTCTATATGTTTCCTTTTCCATTTTATTAAGTCTATCAACTTATTACAGATCTTATTGCTGTCTCACTTTGTTTTTCTCCTACTGTGAAAGGAAATACATTTTCTTTGTTCTCCTTTTGTACTAATGTATGCTGCCTGTGTTAACCAGACTTAATGAAAACAATCACAATTTTCTCAGGTTTGTTTCTCCCTACTGTGTACTTGAGATGAGAAACTCACTTTCCTGTGTACAGTACAATATCTTTAATTGGAAAGAAGAGGAAATCGCCAGTGACATTTCTAATACTATCAGTCGTCTGCCTCTTTCCTCAGGCCCAGCTTATAATAAATCAATTGTGAATCTAACCATGAATAGGGAGGGGTGACTAGGTTTGCTAATGGGCCCCTTAACAAAAAGACAGGTATATTTCACCCTGCCTATCACTGATTTAGAAGCGTTAACTTGATTTATTGGAGCAGATGAAAATGTTTGAGGCTATTCCTCATCCTTTACCAAATAATCAAGTATTTCTGATTTAATTGATGGGGGATTGGGCATTGGCATCTTTCTGGTATTTTGCAAGCTTTGCCTGGGGTGGAGGTAGTATGGATTATAGAGTGTGGATTTAGGGGCTTAGTTCTGTTCCATAGAACACAAAATGAATGTTTCTTTAGAGACTCAACATTTCCGACATCTCCTTTTTCCCGTCTGTTTCATGATCAGGACATCTTGAAACCTGTCCATAGTTTTTAAAGTGTGACAAGCAGGGAGAAATTAAGAAAATCAGGCTGTATGTATGTACCCACTAGCATTTAATTTAAAATGTCGGAAACAGTCAAATTGTATAGGTTCCTGTAGCATTTGACGTTGTGACCCAGTTCACAAATGTTCCATACCATTTTGATTTGAAATTCACAGTACCAAAGTAAAATAAGCATTAAATATCCTACAGCCATGTTTTAAAATATGTGCTCTCTGTTGTAAGGTATAATTTGTGAGCTACCAAGAAGATACTTTTTTACTGAGGGAAAATTAACCCTGAACTTGTTTTGAAGAGCAACTTATTTTTCCATTTTTATCAAATGGCAGCAAGATAATGAGAGGCTAATCACAAAATCAGTGTTTTTAAAACTATAAAAATAAGGCAAATGTTATTGCATTTACTCAAAAGCAATATTTAGTGCTTTCTTGATTCTCTTGGGAAAGCTACATTCTTACAAAATATAATCTTGGGTCACAGATAAATAAAATTAATTCAGCAAACACACTTCCTGCCCTCTAGGAGCTGACAATCAAAGAGTTTTTCAGATATTTCATTAATGAAAGAACATTTGTTAAAGCTTCTTTAACTCCCTAGAAGCTATGTGTATTTTCATCTTGATTAAATGTATATGAAGCCTGCATTGCCCCATTTTAAATAACTTTAATTTATTCAAACCTTTGGTTTTTCTAGTAGTCATTACAATTAAAACAATGTAAAATTTCATTAATATTTTAAAAATATCATTGGTTTATCTTACCATGTCTGTGCAGATATTATTTTTCTTACATCTAAAAAATTATATACAAAATATTGGGAACTAACAGCAGGCATGGCAGAGGCTTGGGTTGTGTTGCGCTTAGATCACAGGCTATGGTCTCTCTCTCTCTCTCTCTCTCTCTCACACACACACACACACACACACACACACACGAAACTTGCTCCACCTCTTACTAATCACAAGACGCTGAACAAAGTTCCAAATCTCTCTAAGTCCTATTCCTGGCTAGTGCTGGAGCAATGGCACAGAGCATAGTATAGGGGATAGACTTTTAAACAGGTAATTAGAATACAGCATGTGATGACAGAAGTCTTTTCGAGGTACAAAAGAGTGCAAAGCAGGGAGTAACTGTTGCAGGGGGCATGGAAGGTAGCACCTCCAGCCTAACTTGGCCTCAGGTCCTCCTTGAAGTTTAAATAGCACCTTTGTTCATGAGTATTAAACTAAGACAGTCTTTATCCCAACTTCTTCCTCATTTCCCAATCACACCTGATCCTGAGCCCTTGTGGGGAAGATAGTTAGCAGAAGGGCTTGGTATGGGTATATACCTAGCTCATCAGCACAGTGGCACTCGCAGCCCTCTCTATACTCTGTCCCCACTCCCTCTTCCCTCTCCTTCACTGGCTCTGACTTCCTCACTTTCCTCAAAACCTCCTCCTCTCAAACTCAAAGAGAAGACCTTGCCTTGAGTTTCGTAGAGTACATATAAGTGAGATAACATGAGGAGGAGGTAGAGAGAGTAAGGATACATACAGATGGGCACCCAAGATTGTGTGGAAAGAGGACAAGAGCAAAAGGTCGAGAAACACCAGCAAGGAGGGTGCAGGGTGAGGGGAACTGAGGAAGGAGCCTGGGAATGTGGGATGGGCAAAGTCAGAGGAGGAGGAGTGTGACTGAAACCAGTACCAAAAAAGAAGGGTACAGTAAGTGAGAGCTGTCCAGTACCACAGGGACATCAAAGTCTATAGTATTTCCACTTCATGTTTCAGTCAGGAAAACTTTAGTGCAAGTAGTTTCAGGGGAGTGGAAGAAGGTGGAAACCAGAATATAGTAGTTTAAGGTGTGATTGGGAAGTGAGGAAGAAGTTGGGATAAAGGCTGTCTTAGTTTAATACTCATGAACAAAGGTGCTATTTAAACTTTCCTAGAAGAGGAAATTCAATGTCAAAGGAAGGATTTTTTTGTTTAAAGATACAAGTACATTAAGCAAATTTGTAGATAAGGGAAAAAAGAGATTAAAATTGAAGGTGTAGGGAAAAGGGGCATCCATTTGGTTGGTAAATTCTGAGAGCATCTCCCAGATGCCAGGAATGGTGATAAGTTCCAATGATACAATATTGACAACAAACACAGAATCCCGCGAACAGGCAGGAGGGAGTTGGGGAAGGGGTCAGGTCTTGAACCCAAGACGAAAGGGATCCCTCAAGCTCCAAGCCTTGAGGGGAGGAGATAATAATGGGTGTGGACCTAGGTAATCTCACAGGTGAGGGGCAGGAACCAAGAACTTTCCTTGTTGATGGATTCAAGTGAGAAACAGA